TTTTCACAGGATTGTTTAAATTTTAGTTGCTCATACAGACCTCTATCACATCTGCAGCCTGAACCTGAGGTCCATCAATTGCCTATTAGCAGGAATGCAGGGATGACCTAAAGTCTCTTCCTCTCATTTGAGCAACATATGAGCCTCCCTTTGTGTGACCTGTCTTTTTAGAAAGTTTTGCAGCTTTCAAACTTTATTGAAAATATATATAATTTGATAAGAAATCTTGTCCACAACATCGATCCACTATCTAGTTAGCAGGGGAAAGATGTGATCTAACAGTACAGGATAAAGCACTAATTGATTTCTCAGAGGAGTCTTCTTGATTTATGTCAGTGTGTATAGGAAGACAGAGGAGAAGTGAGTTCCTTTAAAATAACAATAAAAACAAGTAAAGTGATCACAATTACAACTAGTCCACAGTAGCAAACTGCTTCCTGCAAGAGTTAATGTGAAAATATTTTTAAGGCACATTTTGTTGTGTGCCTTTTTAGCTTATCAGCTAAATCAGCATCATGGTAGGTTACTTGCTGTAGCAACCAATACTTATAACTAGGAACAGTCTGTTTCCAGTCACCCCATTTTCCAGTTTTCCCTAAGTTCATTCATACATTTCCTTTCCCCCGCCGCATTAATTTTTGTATTAAAAAATGTGCAAAAAATCATATTTAACAAACTATTTTAGCACACATGACTATGTTTTTCATCTCAACATATACATTTCTGTGTGTACTTTATCCTGAGATGCACATTTATGAGAAATATCTCCCCACCCCTTTTCTTCCCTAACCCAAGAACTTTTATTGCAAAATTCAGAGAAATGCGAAACCAGTAAGAAAGCTGCTGTTGTTAAGCAAAGTTATGTTCTGATTCGCTCATTAGATCACTCCCCATCAGAAATTAAAAGCAACGCAGGTCTCTTAAGCATCCATGCTGTTCAGAATGACGACTTCAGGGCTTCAATGTTCTTTACCAGAACCAGTTTTCAAAATTGTAAGACACCTGCAAAATCTTAGCTCTGACCTCCATAAAAGTCATTTCTTTTTGCCAGAGTTAAAAACAACAACACCATTTTCCCTAATATGTTTTAAAGTGAGCGGGGGGAAGGAACTGATTCACCTTGTAAAAAGGCAAACATCTGTCAGTCCCTGCTTCAGGTATAAGCTTATCACAGCCTCAGTGATTTTCTATACGTGCAGGAGCTCTGACAGATAAGGGGCAAGGGGGTTGCGTTCTTCACAGGATGCAAACATCATTTCCCCTGCAGTAAAAATAGACACACTAAACCCAACATCCCACAGTTGCTTTCTACAAAGGCCATTAAGGCGCTGCCATTTGAATGCACGAGGCCATTAGTGTTGATCTTGTCTCTGCAGCGAGGGTAAATAACTTGTCTTTAGAATAACAGATATATGTTTCCTGCAGACAATCACTGAAGAGTCAGATAGAATCCCCAAAATCAGTGTAGACAAATATAGCAAGTACTGCTTCAGACAGTTATGGGCCTCGGAGAGGGAAATTGACTGATCAACCAGACACCACCTCTAGCTGCTCACTAACACACTGATGGATGGTGCTGCTGCTGCCGTCACATCAGTTCCTGTGTGATTGACAGATTGGTAGACTGAGGAAACGAGGAACTGCTTATTCCCCACCTAATCACACCAGATCCAATCGGAGGAATAGGCTTCTGATAGGTGCAAGGAGCTAGTGTTTTTAGTCACAGGGTAAGGGAAAGGAGAATTTTGGGACAACCTAAGGATGAGACCACCTGAAACTGTAGTCTATCATTTTGCTCTTTGCAGTCCCAAAGCAAGTCAATGGCAGGACTTCAGATTCAGGTGAGGGGCTCCCTGAAGTGAGCCAAAGTGAAGAGAGGGCATTCTAAGAGCCATGGTGACTACATGTTCTCTCCTATCCTTCCCTCAACCTTTCGCTTGCAGTAAAAGACTCCTGATGTTTATTAAACCACATCAGGAGAAACTGTTCTAACCACATTAGAACAGAGAAACTATGGTTTGTTTTCTGGTCCTGGTTTCAGTCCTGTTTCGTAAGTCTACTGGTTCAGCTATAATGGGAAACTGGTTTAATAAACCACAATGGGAGCCGGGTGTGTAAGCAGAGGAGAAGTAGGGCAAGGATGGACAGCATAAGCCTTATTCTTGTTCAGATAATGGTTTGTTATTGTCTTGGTAACCCATAGCTTAGATGAAACAACAACCCTTCATTTAAAAACATCCACTTTCTTTGCCACCTTTGAGGAACAACACTTGGTTTGGCAATTTCAGATTTATATGTCTGATCAGGTTGGTTACAGACTGGTAATACATTCTTATGGGTGTAGTGGGCTACTCCTGAGCACTGACCATTACCCCTTGTTGAATTAGCTCAAGGGCCTAATATAACTGGATAACAATTAAAGAACAAAAACAACAGAAAATGCACATGGATGAACATATGACAGTAAAGAGGGTTTTTTTGTGCTGGGGGAGAAGGGGCATTAATTTCTTCATTCCCAGGCCTGGTGTGATACTGTATCATCAAGTTTCTTATTAGAAATGCTGAGCATTGTCTTATGAATAAATGTTGATTTATGGTCTGATTATGGAGGCGTTATTTGTGTCATAGCTGCTTATTCCCTATAACCTGAATCTTTGAGTAATGATCAAATTAAGTATGATTTACTTGCTTCCTTTGCAGCTTTCCAATTCACAATATGATTTGGTTAAAGAAACTGAAGAAGAAGGATTAAGAATCATACCGAACAAGACTTCGAATGCTGAGGGTGTATGATTAACTTAGCTATCTAAGCACATATATATTACAACTCCTTCATTCAACCTGCAAGGCATGGGGTTCTCCTTTCTCTGGTATGCACATGTGTTACGGGTTAACAGTGTGGCACTCTTTAAGAGAAAATTATACAAAAATGTTATATCAATGGTATCTAATACCGAGTAAGTTGGCAAAAATGTAGAAATCTAAATCAAATAAGTGTTGGAAATGTAAAGAGAAAGAAGGTTGTTTTTATCATATGGGGTGGTCTTGTAGTAAGGTTAAAGCTTACTGGGAAATGAGATATAATGTATTGAAAAAGATGTTTAAAATACCGTTTGTAAAAAAAACAACCCCAGAAGCTTTCATTTTGGGAATTATAGGGACAGAACTTGTTGTTGTTGTTTAGTTGTTTAGTCGTGTCCGATTCTTCGTGACCCCATGGACCAGAGCACGCCAGGCACTCCTGTCTTCCACTGCCTCCCGCAGTTTGATCACTGCCTTGCCATGGCGAAGGGGCTTGAATAACTCAGAGAAGCTATGAACTATGCCATGCAGGGCACCCAAGATGAACAGGTCATAGTGGAGAGTTTTGACCAAACGTGATCCACCTGGAGGAGGAACCGGCAAGCCACTCCAGTATCCCTGCCAAGAAAACTCCATGGACAAAGACAACAGGCATAGAAAAGTTATGACGCTGGAAAGTCCAATGCTGTAAAGAAAAATATTGCATAGGAACCTGGAATGTAAGAACTATGAACCTGGGTAAGTTGGATGTGGTCAAAAATGAGATGGCAAGAATAAATATTGACATCCTGGGCATCAGTGAACTAAAATGGACGGGAATGGGTGAATTCAGTTCGGATGACCATCATATCTACTACTGTGGGCAAGAAACCCATAAAAGAAATGGAGTGGCCCTCATAGTCAACAAAAGAGTGGCGAAAGCTGTACTGGGATGCAATCTCAAAAATGATAGAATGATCTCGATACAAATCCAAGGCAGACCTTTTAACATCACAGTAATCCAAGTTTATGCACCAACTACTGGTGCTGAAGAAACTGAAATTGAGCAATTCTATGAAGACTTACAACACCTTATAGAAGTGACACCAAAGAAGGATGTTCTTCTCATTATAGGGGATTGGAATGCTAAAGTAGGGAGTCAAGAGATAAAAGGAACAACTGGCAAGTTTGGCCTTGGAGTTCAAAACGAAGCAGGGCAAAGGCTAATAGAGTTCTGCCAAAAGAACAAGCTGGTCATCACAAACACGCTTTTCCAGCAACACAAGAGACGACTCTACACATGGACATCACCAGATGGGCAGCATCGGAATCAGATTGATTATATACTCTGCAGCCAAAGATGGAGAAACTCTATACAGTCAGCAAAAACTACCTAAACTTTATTCATGTATGTTGCTTCTGAATACCAGTTGCTGGAAACCACAGGAAGGATGAGGACTCTCGTGTTTTAATCCTGCTTTCTGGTTTGCCACAAGCCTCTGGCTGACCACAGCGAGAACAGGAAGCGGAACTAGGTGGGCCATTGGTTTGATCCAGTAGGTTCTTCTTATGTTCTTAACCCTGTGAGGTCGGTTGGCATGAAGGAGCCTGATTTCCCAAGGCAGAATTTTATATTGCAATGGGAATCTGGGAAAGGGGAGGGGGAGGAGAGAGATTATGAGGATGTATTGATGCCCTCAGGAGAAGAACAACTCCCAGAATCCTCCAGGCATGCTAGTGACAGGGCAAAAGGGGGAAACTTTCCTCCTCACCTCTTGTGTCATTGCTACTACTGCTGCCACTACTAAAAAAAAGCAGGAAGAAGAAATGGGTACATATGGTCAAAGAGGGTTGGCTGGGAAAGGCTTGAGAGGTCACAGAGGGTGACCAGGTTGGGTGGGGGGTAAGCTGTGTATTCTTCTCTTGCTTGGACTCTAATCCAAACTGAGGAACTCTCCTTTGATTGCCAGGCTTTTTGTTGCTGTTGTTTAGTCGTTTAGTCGTGTCTGACTCTTCGTGACCCCATGGACCAGAGCACGCCAGGCACTTCTGTCTTCCATTGCTTCCCGCAGTTTGGTCAAACTCATGCTGGTAGCTTCGAGAACACTATCCAACCATCTCGTCCTCTGTCGTCCCCTTTTCCTTGTGCCCGCAATCTTTCCCAACACCAGCGTCTTTTCCAGGGAGTCTTCTCTTCTCATGAGGTGGCCAAAGTATTGGAGTCTCAGCTTCAGGATCTGTCCTTCCAGTGAGCACTCAGGGCTGATTTCCTTAAGAATGGATAGGTTTGATCTTCTTGCAGTCCATGGGACTCTCAAGAGTCTCCTCCAGCACCATAATTCAAAAGTATCAATTCTTCAGCGATCAGCCTTCTTTATGGTCCAGCTCTCACTTCCATACATTTTAGAAGTCCCCAAAGCTCGTTTCCAAGCTGGCATTATTAGAGGCAATATGTCTCTGAATAGATATGGAACAGCAGCAGCAAATGATGGCTTGCTAGCCCTGGTTGTGGGCTTCCTTGGGGCATCTGGTTGGCTCCTAGAAGAAGGAGGTTGTCGGAATCCAGAACGGGTGGAGCTTCGTCTAATGGCAACGGGGCTCTTCATATATTGACCAGCTGTTGGTGGGGGGAGGTGGAAAATTGGAGTGAGGGAGATGGAATACATACTGGGAAAGGTTGGAAGCCTGCAGAGGAGCACTCCATGTTATGTACTGAAGTTCTCACCCTGGGCCAGCAGGGGAATACTGTAGATAGTTTTCACTCAGGTCCACATATGCAAATAAGGAATTGGAAGTGACGTTCAGCGATTGGATAGTTACAGAAAGTTGTTACTGTTGCCTTGTAGTTGAGCTCTATATAAGCAGGTTGGCTGAACCCTTCAGTTCAGTTCTGTTCTGGCCTGTGAATAAACAAGAGCTGTTTGAAGAATCACTGTATTGTCTGATATGTTCACCCACAACTTAACACTCCACACTGTCACATTTTGTTATAGGCCCTACTTGCAGTTTGCCACATGAATCCTACTGTGCAAATTAAAATAACCTCATTTGCAGGCGAGGGTATTTCATAAAATTTGGAGGCCAAAATTGTGACTAGAATTTGCAAAAGGAGGGTCAGAGCAGAACATGATTGAAAATGAAATGAAATAAAAAACAAAGCCCCCAATGATTTCTTCAACAATTGTGCCTTGAGTAGTAGCCATGTGGAACAACGGGGGAAAACCTTGAGTGCTTTGTATAATATTAGACTCCTGCAGAGTGGTTATAAAAGAAAGAAAGCACATTTATTAGTGCCTGCAAATATAATGTAATTTATAATCGATCCTCCCAATTGCTTGTTTAGCAACTGATGCCTGTCGATAAAAATCTAAGGACTAAAATATCAATTATCCATGGCTACAGCTATATCATCTGTATCTATCAGTCTTCTACCTTTAACATGCATGGCGTTTCCCCCCTGCATTCTGTGGGGTTGTTGAGCTACATATATATGTTTATGGTTAAGACAAAACAATTACATATTTTAAAATATATTTATACCTTGCTTTTCTTCTATGGGGCGCATGGTAATCTCCCATCCAGGGACTGGACATACTTACACCTGTTTAGCTTCAGTATGTTTGGTATTTATTTTCCTTCCCTTAATAAAGAAACTAACTGCACATTAGCCTCGCATCTCCCTTTCTGACCTGGGAATGACCTGATCAACCTGTCAGCCCCTTGACACTGGAAGCGGTTTATTGGTACAATTCTACCCCACTGGGTGAGACACTCCTGGGCTATGGCCTGAAGGGTGTGGGATGATACCTACGTACAGTGGTACCTTGGTTCTCAAATGCTTTGGTTCCCAAACGTTGAAAACCCTGAAGTAAGTGCTCTGGTTTTTGAATGTTTTTCAGAAGTTGAACGACCAATGCAGCTGTCGGCTATTGTTTCCGGGGCACCTGCACCAATTAGAAGTACAAGAACAAGGTACTACTGTACTTGGCGTTTTTGTTTTTGAGGCTTTTTTGGTTAATTTGTTTTTGAGACTGTGTGGAACCCACTTCAGCTACTGATTGATTGATGGTGTGACTGCGGAAATGGATAAAAGCCCCCCATCCAAACAATGACTATCATCAGTGCAGGTAAGATTTTTTTATTTTATTTTATCATCTACAATACTGTCTTATTTATTTTATGGCATGGTACATTGATTACTGCTTTCATTTTACGGCTCAATGGTCTCGTTACATAGTAAAATTCATGTTAAGTTGCTGTTTTAGGAGTTGTTTTTAAAAGTCTGGAACGGATCCATCCGTTTTGCATTACTTTCTATAGGAAAGCATGCCTTGGCTTTGGAATGCTTTGGTTTTGGAATGGACTTCCGGAACAGATTAAGTTTGAGAACCAAGGTACCACTGTATGCGGGGCAGCAGCCTGTGAAGAGCAAGAGGAGAGTGAAAAACAATTGCCAACAAGCAATATAAAAGGAACTCAGGGCAGGTGCCAATCATGAGCTGTACAGCCAGTGCCAGCAGATGTGGTCTTAGCCTTGGATAGCCAATTGTCTGCACTGCTGCAACCATGCACAGTTAGCTCTATCATTTGTTAGAGCTGATAATCAGCTTTTTCTTAAGTGCACACTGCTGTTCAGCTCTACCCATCATCATAGCATATAAGCCAACGTTCAGTGGGAAATGTCGAAGCTGGCTTCATTGGCTGATATTTCTGCTGGCTGCATATCTGCCAGGTGTCTTAGCAATAGAATGTGATTAGGTGATGGCACCAATAAAGCTGATTTCTTTGTTATATCTGGCATTTCTTGCATTAAAAGACATTCCCCCCCCCAAAAAAAAATCCCTAATTCGCTTTGATGGACACTATAGCTGTGAAAATCTCTTCTGAGAGCATAGCAGAGTGGCCGATTTGAATAAATGCAGAATGGCAGTCATTCCATATTTCCTTTTCAGCAGTTGCAGGATGATTAAAGGTTTGGGCTTCTAAAACTAGAGAGTTCATGACTAATGTAACCTTGTCAGGGGCATTTTTTTTTTCAAATCAGCAGCAAATCCCCACCACCACCACCCATTTACAATTATAGTGCAAATCAAGCATTGGCAGCTTCTAAAATAATTATTTTTGCAGCTGACAGACAAAGATGAGTTACTGTGAGTTTTCTGGAGGCTGCCCGTAAATACAGATGATGGTGCACATTCACACTATGGTGGAGAATGTCCACAAATTGACAGGGATCCTGCACATTGCTCAGTCAATATGGATATGGGAGATGATGGATGCTGGAGATTTCAGTCTTTGTGTGGAAAACATGCATAGCTTCTATTGTATACTGTGGACAGCAAAAAGTTCCACATGTATTTTCCATGTAGCTGAGCACCAATATTTACCCTCAAGCAAGGAATATTCATATTGGCATTACTAGTAGATATTTTCCACTTGAGCACACTACAGTACTGTGAATGGATCATTGTTCCCAAAGATTTCCAGGTGGCGGACGTGAGAAAGGGGTTTCCCTCTCAATTTCTGCTTACAGCCCATTGTGCCTTCTGAAAATTTGTTCCGGGTGCCTGGTTGACATTTCAGAACATGATGCTGGGGACCTAGAGAAGGAATAGATGGAAATTGTCATCTGCTTCTTCCATTATCAGAACCTCTACTGGACCAAAGACCCTTGTTCAGATTGAAGGAGCCCTTCCATTCATGAAAGAGCAGGTCTAGATCCAAGTCTGCACTGGGCTGGCACCAGACTTGGGGGTAGCCTTGGCAGAGTGCCAGCTGTGAGGTCAGGCCTAGGCAGCAGCACTCACCTTCTTCTGGACCTCAGGACATGCTTCAGTTGTGAATGAATGCTCAGCTCCCTACGCCATCTTAAGTTACCCAAAATGCAATGCCCCAGTGCATGCACTTTTTAAAAAATGAGGAGTTATCACCACAGATGGGGAATGAGCCTGGGTCCCATACAAAATGGCACTGCTGCCCACCACTGAAAAGCATTTAGGGGGCTGGTGGAGACGTTGGTGAATGATAATGTGAATGGTTTGGGCTTGTGAGGGACCCTTCCAAGCTCCTAGGCCCTTGACCAGTGCCTGATCCAGTTGACCACTGTTGCCAGGCTTGAGTCTCTCTCTCTGTGTGTGCCCATGCTTGCATAAGTAGACAGGTGGAAATGGAGTAAAATGGATCCATACTGACAGAGTATACTCTGAAGACAAGGACTGAGAGGACAGGGAGATCAACTTCTAACAGAAGAGGAGGGGGACTATTCTCCCCCCTCACTTCCAACATTTCCCGAAACAGAGAGACAGGAAGCCACAGAGCTGCCCAGCTTTGAGATGGTTGTTTGGCAACCAGAAGGGAGGGAGCAACTGGTATATCAATAGAGAGTGGGGGGGGATCGGGGGACCCCCCGATCTCGGACATATGAGCATGTCAGAGAGCAAAAGAGACTCAGGGGAGGCGGGACATTCTGTTGGCGCACTTCTTGCTGCAAAAATGGGGGGGGGAGTCAGAGTGAGCTACTCTGATCCTGGCAGAGGGAGGCCGATCTATGTTTGAGCTATTAGGGGGAAGAGGGGACCTCCCATACTTGACACATACTTACGCTTAAGAAATAGGCATTAGCATTCGGAATAAAGACTCAGCACACGATCTTTGGATGATTGAATCTTAACAACTTTGAGGGTCTACAGAAACACATAACCTGATTAAGCAAATCAAAATATATTCTGGGCAGTGAAGCTTCCGAATTTGAAGAGTTGAAGAACCTCCGTAATCATGGGCCTGTTTGTAGGCATCAGCGGTGGTGTCGGAGAAAAGGATTGGAAGGAAACCCTCCTCCTTACTCCAAGTACCTTGGATATGTGAAGTCAACAAGCCTCACCAGCTCAGGGTTCACCCCAATGAACTCAAGAAAGCATATGGTGACAAAGAGTGCCCTTAACCCAATATTGTATCATTTGATTACCCTGTAACTCATAACCTGTCTTTCTGGGTGGACTAAGTCCCAATTAAACTTAACAAAAACAACACAATATTTACAAGAGTATAAAGTAGGCAAAAAAGGAGAGTCCAGGGCCAGTCAAAGGGCTCCCCTAGAAATTCCTACTCAGCTCCCTTAAAAAGATGACTAGCCCAAGTCCATACTGCATATTGAGGGAGGGAGAGAGTAGCGAAGAGCAGACTGTACAATCTGAGGAGGAGCAAACCAGCTCTGCTCCTCCCATTGATTGGCTCACTTCAGACACCTGACGCTCCCCAAGCCTATCCCCAGGGCAAAACCAAGAGAGTCTTCTTTGGAGGGGACTGGGGATGTGGCAAATTCACCCCCATGCCAGTTAGGTAGGAATGGCACTGGTTAATTGTATCCTTGGCTCAAGTGTTGTTTGGCATGTTTGAAAGCAGTTCTCCTCCATTGTCAAGATAGCTATCTACTAACAACAGATACTTGCCAATATCTATCCCCTAGCATTCTTAATTTGTTCTTCTGGGTTGTTGTTGCTTTCTGTTTTGGCAATTAGGAAACGTTTCCTCATTTGTTTTTCTTTCCTTATCCCTCCAATGTAGGAGGCACATACAAAGAGCAGGCATAAAAGAAAACCCAAAAAAGAAAGAAGTGGTGTGAATCAAGATGATTAATGGGCAAACATTTTCTTTTACCTGAGAAAGCCGGTTATATGTTCCTTCTTTTCTTCGCATCATTTGCTTCCAAATAATATGTTTTCTAATATTCATTTTGTGACACAGTTGGAACTCAGTTGTATCACCATCAATGTTTGTGTGCACCAACATTGCATTATTGTTAAATGTGAATGCCGGACTGGTACAGAAGAAGCAAATTATTCAGAGGATAACCTAGTTCAGCAGTGACCACAATATTCTCAATTAGTGAGTTGCTATTTCTTTTCTTTTCTAGCAGGAAATACATGACATAGCTGAGGTTTCAGTAATGAGACAAAAGCGTTGCATTCAGTTTGTTGTCTGTGCAAAGGTTTGGACGGACTTATGACTGAAGAAGGTTGAGGCCAGTGGTTTCCTGGCAGGGAATTAATAAGGGGCAAAATTAGAACATGCCTACAGTTGATTTAAACAACTTAGCCTGCATTGTCTGCGTCATGCTGTCAATTGCTTTCCTCTTTTCCTTTGCTGTCTAGTTAATAATTGAAGCCATTAGAAGTTGGTGGTGGTGCACTCTGACTCATCCTGCAGGAACAGACACGCTCCTGGTCGCCTTTCAAGAGAAAGCGGAGTGGGGACATGCACAACAAGATGAAAGCAAACCCCAAGAGGAAGGAAACGAGAGACATACTGAGACACAGGGGAGTTCACTTAACTGAACTGTCAGCCAACAGCACAGGATTCTATGGACCTTTGTGGTTGGAAACTGAAGGAGAATAGGTTGAATCACTTTTGCATCTCCTTTCTGTTGTAAAAGAAAATAAGAAAATGAGAAGGCAATCTTAATGTACAGAAAATATGCATCCAAGTGTGTCAGTGGTTCGAATCTGCACAATGGGGTGAGCTCCTGTTGCTCTGTCCCAGCTTCTGCAAACCTAGCAGTTCAAAAGTAGATAAACAGGTACCGCAGTGGTGGGAAGGTAAACGGCGTTTCCGTGCGCTCTGGTTTCTGGCACAGTGTTCCGTTGTGCCAGAAGCAGTTTAGTCATGTTGGCCACATGACCCAGATAGCTGTCTGTGGACAAATGCTGGCTCCCTCGGCCTGAAAGCAAGATGAGCACCACACCCCATAGTCACCTTTGACTGGACTTAACTGTCCAGGGGTCCTTTACCTTTTTTACCTTATGCACACCACATTTCCCAGCTGCATGTGCAAAAACGAAACAAAAACAAGCATAATTTTAAAATATATCACAACAGTGAACTTCCACCTGAGTTTATATTACTGGGTTCATTATTTGGTGAGCACATTACAAATTATGAGCCACCTACTAGTTTTTATTCATCACCTTCTCGAGCTTCAAAGAAATATTTTTGCAGTTTACCTTTTGCAGTTTTTACCTTTTACTTTTACCTTCACCTAGTGCTCTAATAGACCTTTGGGTAGTATGTCCTCTCAATTCTCTTAAAAGCAGCAAACAACAGAGCAGATTTCAAGGGAAACAGAGAAAGAGCACTAAGAGAAATACAAAATTCTTCACAGTTCAGCACTACACCCTTTGACAGTTCTGCCCACATGGGAACGTCGAGGTACGTTTCCAGGGTGGCCTCTCTATACTGTGGGGGGTGTCATCATAATGACATCCCCACAGTATAGGGAACCTCACATCAGTTTCCCCAGAGCAGTTTCACAGAAGTCATTCTAAGTGACACTGCTGAAACTTGAAATGGGTCAGCTTGTAACTCGAATCTTGCAGGTGTCAGAATTATCTAATGTACTATGAGCTCTGGCTTTGATCCAGCCAGCTTTGACATATCCCTTTACTGTGGGAAGGAAATGAAAAAGTCTTATTGGGAATATGCATGCACTTTTGGTCAGATGAAATTAAGTACTTCACACACACACAGTTAAACTAATGGACTCCTTCTCAAAGGTGGCAGTGATGGCCACAAGCCTAAATGGCTTTAAAAGAAGATTGCACAAAGTCATGGAGGGCTATCAATGGCTACTAGTCATGATGGCTATGCACTGCTTCCATGATCAGAGGCAGTACTTTTCCAAACACCAGTTCCTGGAAACCACAGGAGGGGAAAGTGCTCTTGTGCTTGGGTCTTGCTTGACGGTTTTCCACAGGCATCTGGTTGGGCAAGGTGAGAATAGGATGCTGGACTAGATGGTTCATTGCAGTGACCTAACAGGACTCTTCTGATGTTTTGATGCACACAGGTGGCATGTGTCGTCTAAAGCACTGAGCCTCTTGGGCTTGTTGATTGGAAGGTCGGTGGTTTGAATCCCCATGACGGAGTGAGCTCCCGTTGCTCTGTTCCAGCTCCTGCCAACCCAGCATTTCGAAAGCACACCAGTGCAAGTAGATAAATAGGTACTGCTGCGACAGGAAGGTAAACAGCATTTCCATGCACTCTGGCTTCCATCACGGTGTCCCATTGTGCCAGAAGCAGTTTAGTCATGCTGGCCACATGACCCAAAAGCTGCCTGTGGACAACGCCAGTTCCCTCAGCCTGAAAGCAAGATGAGCGCCGCAACCCCATAGTCTCCTTTGACTGGACTTAACCATCCAGGGGTCCTTTACCTTTTTTACCTTATGCACACCACATTTCCCAGCTGCATGTGCAAAAACGAAACAAAAACAAGCATATTTTTAAAATATATCACAACAGTGAACTTCCACCTGAGTTTATATTACTGGGTTCATTATTTGGTGAGCACATTACAAATTATGAGCTACCTACTAGTTTTTATTCATCACCTTCTCGAGCTTCAAAGAAATATTTTTGCAGTTAACGATCAGGTGAAGTTTTTTCAACTGAAAGTTGGCAATAATACTAGTTCTAACACTAAGAAGAAACTACTGGGAACATAAATAAGTAGCTATATATATATCTAACTTTATTTAGAACCGACAGTCTTGGAATGAGGGTAAAAATGCTAACCCGTAAACATACTCAGAATGAAGGTGGCCAAAAGTTCGAACTTTGGGCCCATCATAAAATTGAAGAGTTGGAAAAGAAATCACAGCTAAAGAATTGCTGAAAGATGGCCATCCAATTTGTTTTTTAAAAAACCCAGTAAAGAATAGCCTACTACCATCTGAGGCAGTCTATTACATTATCAAACAGAATACCACCAGAAAATTCGTCCTAATGTCCTACCCTCTGGAGCAGCAGAAAACAAGGTTGCTCCAAGCATTCCCAAGTAACTGTTATTTCATTTCTTCAGCTTTTAATTCCTGCTGGTTTTAGTACTGTTCTGTGATACATCTGCATTCCATTTTACAATCTGTTTCTGAACACTGCCAAGGTATTCTCTGAATGTAGAGTAGTTTATAAATTCTGAAATAAATGAATCATCTGTTTTAATCTACCTTTCTGCTATTGCTTGCTCGTAATGCCTGTTTTCCCAGCGGCAGCTATCAGTCACTGTTTGCCATTTTCCCTTCACAAAGCTGCAATCAGCGACCTTGCTTCATCATATAGCATCATCCACAAGGGCATTCTGGGGGAAATGGCGGTTGACACTGGGGGTCCCTCCTTTCCTCTCCCTGTTTTCGCCTCTGGAAACAGGGAGGGTATTTTGGCTTAGACTTACCCTGAAAACCTTCAAGATCTTAAAGCCCGAGACAAAATGTGGTTCCGTTTCTGATGAACTCACCTGTTCAAAGCACCTGGAAGTTATCTCCATAGTTATCACTTCAAACCTGCTCCCCTTGCTTTGCTTAGGATGCTACTGTCACATTTTTTGTGCTTGTTTTTAGGGATTCTTGGCAGCCTGTTGTTTTCTCCACTCACAGGTATGAAATAATCGTTGCACTCCTGCTCAGCCATGCTATTTCTATGAAACGGCCTGTTTCATCTTCCCCTCAGCTTTCATTCTCCTTAAACTTAGAAGGGGGAGACAAACAAACCACCCGGCATGCTTCTATGCACATAGGGACACTATTCCAAATGCACGGGGAACAATTTCTTGGGTGTGCAAAACATCCCAACCCCATACAGTCATACCTTGGGTTACAGCCGCTTCAGGTTGCATTTTTGGGGGGGTTACGCACCCGCCAAAACCCAGAAGTACCGGAACGGGTTACCTCTGGGTTTCAGGGGTTGCGCATGCACAGAAGCACTAAATCGCGCTTTCAGCAGAAGCACCGAATCGCAACCCGCGCATGCGCATACATGCCGCCGCTGTGCGTTGTGAATGCTGCGGGTTGCGAATGTGCATCCGGCACAGATTCCGTTTGCAACCTGAGCATCCACTGTACAAAATAATAAAAAAAAGAATATATTGTCTTTATAAAATGACAGCAAGCATGAAAGGGAGAGAGAGTTGTGGCTAAAGAAATGAGATCTGTCACTGTCCCCATCATGTCCAGTGGCATATGCTGAGAGAAAATCGCAACACACCATGAATGTGCACTTCCGCAGTTCTTCCCAATTTTATAGGCAGACAGATGAGATGAAATTAAATCTGAGTACTCACTTAGGTAATTGCTTGTTAGTCTCATACCCTAACACCCATTACTCATTTTTTTTTCATGGGAGGAGCACCAGAATTTCTCTTCCTAGTCCACATGTGTTTCTGACTGTATTCTTTCTATTATCCTGTTATGCCCTGAATGAGTATTTCAATCAGTTTCTCTGCCTCTAAATATTTAATTGAAAAAGTTGTGACTGCTCAGGAACTTCATCATATCAAAACAGAATGTTGCACTTCCTTGTATGGGTAGGCTATCAGGAACACGCTACACCACAACCCCAACATCTGAAATGTGTCTCCATTTTTCTGAATACAATTCAAGGCACTACAGTGGCACCTTGGGTTACAGACGCTTCAGGTTACAGACTCCGCTAACCCAGAAATAGTACCTTGGGCTAAGAACTTGGCTTCCGGATGCGAACAGAAATAGCGCGGCGGCAGTGCGGCGGCAGCAGGAGGCCCCATTAGCTAAAGTGGTACCTCGGGTTAAGAACAGTTTCAGGTTAAGAACAGACCTCCAGAATGAATTAAGTTCTTAACCCAAGGTACCACTGTAGCTTCAATCTACAAACTCTAAGTGATCCAGATCTCAAACAACACAAGACACTCTTTCTTTCCCTGCATTCTATTTCTGTATCTCAAATAAGCTGAGAATGTAGCACTAAGCAAATTGTTCTTTGGTGCAAAGATTTCTCCTTGCACAACAGAAGGTTCTCCCTCTCCCCTCTCCTTGTGAGCCCCCTAAATTTGTTATGGGGGGTTCTTCCAACACAACTGGAGCACATTTGGGGGAGGAGAGGAGGGGAATGTTGAATACTAGCACTAATCCTTGCCCTAGCAATGGATTAGTGCTAGTATCATCCAATGCTTGTTTACTTATTCCATCCATGTATCCAGTTCTGATTGGCTACTACAGAATTCCTTTCCTCTAAAAACCCATCAACGCTCTTTCCATAGCTTGCTAAAGATATTTTTATTGGGCCGGACTTCATTCGACTTTTAATTGGCCATTTCATTGTAGGTTGGCTTTGCCTTCATAAAATATTTCTAATGGCATCCCCCCGGGATGATCCTCAGTTTGCTTCTATACCCAGCTTGGGCCCATTTATTTTCCTCCTAATGAAGCTGAGTGCATTCCCAGTACCGTACATTCTCTGCCCAAGCACATTTTAAAATGCAACCCTGTGTTTATTCTGCTAGGTCCCCATTATTTCTATGCCATTATAGATGTGCTCCCTAAATAATCAATTCCTGCTTATTGATCACGGTGTACAGAAAATAATGCAGCGTGTTCCAGTAACAGAGCTTTGCACACCATTTACAGAAATTGAAAATCTATTCCCAGCAGATACATTTACATTTTGATCCAAGCCATTCTTTCGTCCCCACCCCACCCCACTCCACTCTCCACCTTGACTTTCTACCAACAACTGGGTAAAGTGATAACGCTTCCATTTGAATAACTACTTTAGCCCTACATCCATTAACTTGCAAAGGAGTCCCAGTGAGACTAAAGATGCTCAGGATCATGGCTTCAGCCAATGCTTACACAGGAAGGAGTGCTACTCATTAACAACCATGTCCCGACCCCTGTGGTTTCACTTAATAACATTCCAGTTGACACTTCTTACAAGTTCCCCAATACTCATGCACCCTACAGTGAATCGTACTACACTGGGGGCGACTTAAGCATGATAGAGAGCTGGTTTTCAATTACATCCCAAACGGTGGCATAGATTGAAAACATGGATTCTCTGGACAAATGGTTCAAAGCTAATTTGTTAAAAATAGATTCCTTTCCCCCTCAAATACTATTTTAATGCCCCTCAGCTATTTAGTGTTTTCATAATAAGCAGAACTACACCACTGGGGCACTTTTTAAATACATTTTCTCCTAAGCAAATCAATAACGTTCTTTTTAAAAAATTTGATAAAGACCGCCCGTGACTTATGAAGGTGACAACACCAATACAAGTCACTGTTTTTTCGAAGCACTTTCAACTTCAAGTATTTTTTATTTTTACAGCTGAACATAATAATTGCAAGCTGTCATTCTCTTTTAAAAAGAAAAACACATATTTTATTTTAACGATTCCAGAATATTATCTTAATATTTTAATGGAACAGGCACTTGATAGCTATAAATTACCCCTTAAAAGCAAAATTGAATCCTTCCTCCAAATGCAAGCCTTAATTAGGTACATACTAGACATCATTTGGTCTTAATTCAGATCCAAGATCAAAACGTATCAAAATATTTTGAACTCATTTGCAAATGTTAGCACATTGAGAAGACAGTGAAAATGGAACTCTATATAGTAAACTAATCAAAATTATCTGAAGGACCAATTCATAAAACTCCGCTAAACAGGTCACAGCTGTAGAAACATGGCCTGTGTTTTAGCATTCATTTCTATATTTATAACTTTGGGCAATATTCAACTACATTTTTTGTGCTGGTGCAAGAGGATTATCCTCCTCTCTTCTCCAGCCCATGACCTGTGCTATCCCCAAATGCTCTGGAGGATTGGGAGGGGGGAGCCCAAAATTTAGGGGGGCAACTGAGAAGGAAAATAATTCCATTGCACAACAATAAATCTGCTTAACGCTATGTTGAATACAACCTTGGTATTTGAATCCATGACCAAAAGCTGGTGTATTCTGGACTGATGCCACAGTTGAATAGGACTGCTAGAATTCTCTCTTTACTTCTGTAATAAGTATCCAACCTGCACTTAAACTAGGAGTGGTCAACCTAGGATCTTCCAGATGTTGTTGGACCACAGTTTCCCTCATCCCTGGCTAATGACCACGCTGGCTTGGGCTGATGGAAGTCCCAAATGGACCGGAAGGGGACCAGGCTTACTTCTCCTGCCTTGGATTCAGAATCAAAACTGGCATGGTTGGTTCCCTCTGTCAACCAGCATTCCTGCTCCTCCTGCTCCTCCTTTCCACCTGCTGCTAATGCACAATATCCTTAAGCCCAGGGAGAGAAGGTGAGGAAGATGGAGGTAGAAACTGCTCCTGCTTCTCTAACACTGGAAGAGACCGTCTCGGAAAGTGATGGTTTTCCTTTGTTATTTCTTAAGCAGAAGCTGGGTGTCATGAATGAGCCAGACCCCAGGAGAAGTTTGCAGCTAGTTCCCAGTCAAGAGAGGAGCCAGGAGGAGAGAGGGTTAACTACAAAACAAGAGGATTATAGCCGTGAGCCAACTCCCCCACCCGTAGGAATGCCAAATGATAAAAACCTATTAGAGAGCCAGCATGCTAGCGAAGAGCAAAATGCAGGAGTTAGAAATGAAACCAGCTTAGGAAGTGGGAAACAGCATGGAAGTAAACTCTCAGAGAATAAGAAAGAGGTGGGAGCTGACCCCTTCTCCCCTAGGTCTAGGCGTATGGGGGGTCTTCAAGACAGAACACATCACAAGAGGAAGTTTGGCTGTTTCTGGCCTCGCCGGAAACACTCGCCTTAGGAGCGATATCTTAGATTAATGGACAGATGTCTGTGCTCACCACTCCAATGAAAGTTGTTGTTTCTTTGCAATAAATCTTCCTTTTAATTAACTACGCTTGTTTTGTTATCAAGACTCCCTGACACCTATTAGGGATGCAGCAGTTGTGGATTTCCTACATCAGCATTGGGTTGGACTAGATGGCATTTCCAGTCCTATAATTCCTCACCCATATGGCCTGGCCAATTGCTTCCCCCTCCTGGGATGGTGGTGATAGGTGACAGTGAGCAAAACTCCAGCAGCTACCCCCTCCCCCCTATTCTTCCATGCTTCATCTACCATGAAGTGAGAGACCCTAAGCCTTCCAAGCGATTTGCAATACACAGAAATTCATAGAGGGGAAAGACACTTCCTGGCTTTATGCTGGGCAACTTGGAAGTGGCCCACTCTGGGTGACACAGAAGGGGTGGATGCTATTTTGATTCTCTCACCTCCCATCATATTTTAAGGAAAATCCACTGTGGGTGTCCTCTCCAAGGACCCACAGTTGTCTAAAGCTGATGTTGTGCCTTCTTGTTTGGAGTTCAAGTATCTTTTTTTTGTTTCTGTAAATCTATTTATTCTTGAAAGTCATCCACATTGTCTTTTTCATGATGATAATCATAAAAATGTTTTCGAACGGTAACTAGATAGATAGATGTTTGACAAATGATAGATAGAAAGTTAGAGAACTAGAAAGCTAGCTAGCTAGCTAGATAGACAGATGATAAATAGATAGATAGATGATAAATAGATAGTAGAAAGATAGAGAGATGGTAAAGAGACAGATCAGTGTATGTTCATCACATTTTTCAATGTGGATCTTTCATGGATTTCTCTCCTCTGTTAAATTGAGTACATGTCATTATACTGTAGAGAATTCAGAGACACTGACTATTATTTTAGCGGATCCCCTGCCCCTCCTCTTTCCTTTCACACCTTAGTTGTGTAGATGATACTTGGAAATTTGCGGGTACCAGGACAAAGAGCACAAACATTCATATTTCATTCCAATTAAGGCTTTATTTTCTCCCGTGGAATGCCTAGAGTCTCATTCCTTTCTACAGCTTCAATACCTACTTTGGTAGACTCACAACATAGCAACCAAATTGCCATCTTCAAATTGTCACAAGGATGGATTCGATTTGCAGTACCAATCACTATTCTCGTTACAATTATCATCACAAGAATGAATTCATAATGTTCCACTTCCTATTCATTACAGCCATTGTCACCCCTGAATATAGAATGGGATTAGAAATGCTTGGCACATAATCAACAGCACTATACATCAGGCCACTTTTGGATTTCATGACAATCTGTTACAGACACCCCTCCCCAGTATGAAGGCTACTCATTCTTCTTTGCTTTTCTCATAGGAGCCCATCTATGTACTCATGATTGCAGCAGTCTCTTACTGCCAGTCTATTCCAAAGCAGAATCATGTGATACAGCCCTGCTAAGATGACAACAATTTAGACGGCAAATAGGGGGATGACTCCTTGTGTCTTAAAAAAAAAAAGGTAAAGGTGTCAGGAGCTCATCCTACACTCAAGTAGGACTCTGGCAGAGACACATGCCTGACTGGCATGTTCTCTCCCTCCTGGTTGTTTGTTCGGGAGCTTCAGCCTGAACATCACAGCAACCAATGCCAACAGACATTGGCACACTTAGGGATCCACAGAGTCTTCGCAGCTTGCGTAACAGACCTCAGCAACTCAGCATTTTGGCTAATCTACTTAATTTACATATAAGCACACAAGGAGCACTGCAACATGGCTCCCTCTCTCTCTAGTATCAGACAGCAAAGATAAAAAGAACAAAGGACAATAGTCCCACTTCATGGAAAATAGTAACACAAACATCCTGTCTCCGTCACTTCCCACTCTGGGGAGTCAGAACTTATACAGTCATGCGATAGACAACAATCCCATGACTGCAATCACGAAGCAGGAATTCTAACAAAAGGACCCCTGACAGTTAAGTCCAGTGGCAGACGACTCTGGGGTTGCGGCACACATCTCACTTTACTGGCGGAGGGAGCCAGCGTTTGTCCACAGACAGTTTTTCCGGGTCATGTGGCCAACATGACTAAGCCGCTTCTGGAGAAACCAGATCAGTGCACGGAAATGCCGTTTACCTTCCTGCCAGAGTGGTACCTATTTATCCACTTGCACTGGTGTGCTTTCAAACTGCTAGGTTGGCAGGAGCTGGGACAGAGCAATGGGAGCTCACCTCGTCGTGGGGATTTGAACCCGCCGACCTTCTGATCGGCAAGCCCAAGAGGCTCAGTGGTTTAGACCACAGCGGCACCCCATTTATTCAGGACCCAAGAATCAGAGGTATTGGTGACATGCTTTCTGGCTAAACTTGGATACCCACTTTGGAAGCTCATAGAAGCCCTCCGCAAAAAGGAAGTGAGATTTTAAAAAAACAACCCAGATTCTTCTCTGGCTCAGATCAGATCAAAATCTAAGCTGAAGAAAGCTCCCCAGCAGCCCTGTTCCACCTATCTACCAACCTGTCTAAGTACAATTCCCTTCACTCCTCTGCCAAGTCCTATTAAATTCAGTGGCACTCGCTCTTAAGTAGGTGAGGTTCAGATTACCACCTATGTTATCCACTCAGTTTTGTATTTCCCAAATGTTCTAATTCAGATCCCAGTTCATTAACAAAATAATGTGTATTCAGAAAACACATTTAGAATTTTTTCATGCAGCCCCCCCCCCCCCAATTCCTGGATAACTGAAGAAATGGACTTCCAGAGGAACATGGGCAGAAGCGACTTGAACTGGAAACAGACTGATTTTCCCTAAGCTTCAGACATATTTACTTGGGTTCCGGAACATGAAGAATAATCACTTAAATTCAGCGCTCTCATGATAACATCCTCCTCCGTGGTCATCCTGGCTTTGTGCCCTAAAATACTGTAGTTCTGGGTTGGTGGTAAGAATGGGTGAATGTGTCCCTTTCAATTTCTCCATGTCTTCAATTATTATTATTATTATTATTATTATTATTATTATTATTATTAAAAAGCAAGTTCTCATGGAAATTCGCCAGCATTTTAATGTGGATTTCTAATACACAGTTTGTATGTAATTTTTCTTAATACAGCGGTACCTTGGTTTTCTAACGTCTCCGTTGACGAACGTTTCGGTTTTCAAACGCCAAAGACCCGGAAGTAAATGCTTCCATTTTCAAACACGCCTTGGAAGTCGAACGACTTCCACTGCATGTTTCTCAATTTTCTCAATTAAATTTACAGACTGCCCTTTGTGCCTTGGCTTTTGAATGTTTCGGAACTCAAACAGAAATTAGCTCCCCATGCAACACCTGTAACAGGCTGGTTCTTTATCAGTGGGGCCACCAGACTACCTCAAGAGAAAAGTTGCCTATTTCACCCCTCACTTATTAGCAGAATTGCAATTAATGAAGATGTCAGAAAACGTTCTGCAAAGCAGGTGGAATTTTCAGATGCTAGGAGCACATTTACATTTCTGACGGTGCCCACATTTTCCTTCCCATTTTTTAAAAAAACTACTTCTGAAGCAAGTCTCTCTTTTTCTTTAGCACTTGAAATTGCCTTTCAAGTGCTGATCTGTTAAAAGATTCACTCAGTGGCCGCTTCTTCCAGTTCAGTCTAACCAACTCCTATTTGAGGGAAGAAGAATTCAAAGGCAAGTCTTTAAGGATCAGATAAAGGAACCAGTCTCATTTATAAAGGAAGTCCTCTACCTTTGAAGTCTCAGGAGGCTCTCAGAATTCTAGGCATGGTCAAATGCTATTTATTTATTTATATGGAAAAGTTCTGCCGCCCCCCAATCCTCTGCTGGTGCCCATGGCACCACTCAGGGCAGCTTACACTAAGTACAAAATCACGAAATAATAATAATAATAATAATAATAATAATAATAATAATAATAATCTGGAAATACAATTCCCTCCCAAACCCATGCAATACTTAAAATACATTTAGAAAGCAACAGCAGCAGAGGTCACACATACAAACCATCTTCATGTATAATACAGTCAGAAGACAAAAGCCTGACAGAATAAAAATGTCTTTACCAGAATGTAAGAAGAGCCTGCTAGAACAGGCCAATGGCAGCCAACCATAATCTTGTGACAAGAATTATTATTATTTATTAAATTTATGTACTAAACTCCATTAAGAGATCCCAGGGCGGTTCACAGAATAGAACACAAGATAAAACACAAGTAAATAAACAAACAAAAACAACAAAACAATGTTCCCCTTTGTTATAGGATACACATCTGCCCAGAGAGATAGAGGCAACACAGTCACATGAGTGGCATATAAATAATGACATTATTATTATTATTATTATTATTATTATTATTATTACTACTACTACTACTACTATTCTGTCGCCTTCCAGTTTTAGGTATACATATTAAAAATGTGATTTCTGAAGTCTCTGTGTTTAAATATCTAATATTTCATTATAGTAATACTGGATTAAATTGAAAAAGTGACACTGAAATCAATAGATTCCCCAACATTTTCCACAAAACCCTCAACCAACCTTCTCTGCTGCAGTCTTCCTATTTTATTTTATTTTATTTTACTAAGAAGTAAGTATTGATTCTTCAGGATTCACTGAAGAAACATTGATAGAACTTCAGAGTGAATATTTTGGGGGTATGGGGATATCTGGCAAAAAGAGAGAGAGAGAGAGAAAAGATAGTTAAAATTGATCGACAGCATGTAAAAATTTTATATGAATCGCCAGCTGACACCTGCCAATTGATGCATGGCACAAAATGATGTTGTTGTTTTTTCTCTCCGTCGCTGGGAACATTTGACTCCAAGTGCCAATGTAGCAATTAACATGTGACAGTGTGTGACAGCTGACAAGCAGCAACACTTATCGCTTGACATGTGACATCAGCTACATAGCTCTGGGGGTCTTAGGTCAGTGGCAGAGCACATCCTTGGCATTAAAAAGATCCCAGGTTTTTTTGGTGTTATTTTTTAAGGCTCTTGGTAGGGCTGAGAAAAATTCCCTGCCTGCAAGGCCGCAGAACTGCTTCCCATAAGGCTAAACAGTACTGAGCTAGGTATACCAATGGTCTGGTTGGCATCCATCTGTCTTGAGAGACAATGGAGAGCACTTCCAGGGGTGAAGACCAACCTCCACAGGATGCAAGCTTGAGCATTGTGTATGAAGGTCCTGGACTGCCCAGATGACAAGAACCCCCTTCTCGGCCTCACTGATGTGGTCCAAAGGAAAGCAGAGCAATACGTTTGGCACCAGCTTGGCTGCAGGAGTTGCTGGAAGGTGCTATACAAGGCACCATTCAACCGTCTTAAGGATTTGCATGAATCTTACTCCTTAACCTTTTATTCCCCAGAAGATATCCCACAAGACAGCATGGGTTTAGAAGAAGTGTTTTCTTTCTCCTAGATGGGTTGCGAGCCCTATCTGCTTCTCGCTTCCCTCTACAGCAGGTGCCTGTGGCGCTGTGGTCTAAACCACTGAGTCTCTTCAGCTTGCTGATCGGAAGGTCAGCAGTTCAAATCCCTGTGATGGAGGGAGCTCCTGTTGCTCTGTCCCAGCTCCTGCCAATCTAGCAGTTTGAAAGCACACCAGTACAAGTAGATAAATAGATACCGCTGTGGTGGGAAGGTAAACGGCGTTTCTGTGCGATCTGGCTTCTGTCATGGTGTCCCATTGGGTCAGAAGCGGTTTAGTCATGCTGGCCACATGACCCGGAAAGCTGTCTGTGGACAAACGCCAGCTCCCTCAGTCTGAAAGTGAGATGAGCGCCGCAACCCCATAGACGCCTTTGACTGGACTTAACCGTCCAGGGGTCCTTTACCTTTTACCTTTTTAACTATTAATAATGGCAAAACACGCCTAAGGGGTGAAATTGGAAAGGAAGGGGCAACTGGCACAAATGTGCCAGCCCACTCCCAATGTCCTCAGGCATCCTGAATGAGCACATTCCATAGCTGAACTCCCTGAAAGTTCCAAAGTGAGCTCGTAATCACATTCAGCTGAATCCTTGGGTGCTCCTAGAGTAATTCAGAACAGTCACTATTAAATTCTGTAAAGTCTGCTTCGAGCACCCACACAGTTCCTTTCAGAACTGCAGACATTTTGCATTTTTAATTACAGACATGTCAGGAGAGTCGCCCTTTTAAAATAAATAAATAAAAACCGGTTAAAAGCAAAATAGAAGCCTCAAGTAGCTTTCATTTTGCATTGCTATAACAATACAGTGGTGCCCCGCAAGACGAATGCCTCGCAAGACGGAAAACTCGCTAGACGAAAGAGTTTTCCGTTTTGGAGGTGCTTCGCAAAACGAATCTCCTATGGGCTTGCTTCGCAAGACGAAAGTGTCTTGCGAGTTCCTGCGGGGTTTTTTCCCTCCCCCCCTTTTTCTAAGCCGCTAAGCCGCTTACCTGCTTATCCGATAAGCTGATAAGCCGCTAAAAGCCGCTAAAAGCCGCTAAAAGCCGCTAATAGCGCTAATCCGCTAATCCGTCAATGGACTTGCTTCGCAAGACGAAGAAACCGCTAGACGAAGAGACTCACAGAACGGATTCTTTTCGTCTTGCGAGGCACCACTGTATGTCAAAGGGCAACCTTTCACATAGACCCAGTCTAATTGGGAAATGTTGGTGACGAACCATTTTATATCATTAACTTTAATTAATATACCTTCCTGAATAAAAAAAAACCATTGCTGCAGCCTCTTTATGCCCAGCTTCCAAGAGTAACTGATTGCAAGGTCCTTTTGTTAAGCCCTTGGACATATAAGTTGCTATCAAATGAGACCTATCTGCATAACTTATTTCCCCCAGCATAGAGCAGTTGTGGCCCAGTTGTGTGTAGAGAAATACATTTGAAATGGGGGCGGGATACTACGGACCTCTCCAAACTATTGTTGGTCTATATGTAGGGACATTCTGCAACGTGTCATTGACACAATAATAGTGGTGGATTTGTACTGGACAGTCCTTAGGATTTCTTCTGCCATGCTTCCCCAGTGTTACTGCATTGTTTGTGGCAATGTTCAGGGTGGCAGGAAAGGATATATTGTATATTAATATCCTTCCTAACTTGTGCTAGCAAGTTCCTTTACTTAGCAGAGTTTACGTTCCCCTTCTCACGCACAGCAGAAAACTGGTTGCAAACTCATGTGAGTTTCTTAAAGACAATACGCAATTAGTCTGCCTGGTCCAGACTGAAATATGTTCTAATATTTTCCAGGTAAGACCCCTTGAATCCCTCCTAAAAGAATAAAGACACCACAGTCTTTATTAGATTTATAAACCACCCTTCATCATAAGATCTCAGGGCAGTTCACAGAACAAAATACAGGATAAAAACAAATAAATAAGTGAAACAAAGCAGCAGAACAATATCCCCCCATTCCCACAGACACATTTAAAAGGCTGTAGAACCAGCTAAAGGTTTGGTTGAAGAGGAACATTTTCGCCTGGTGTCTAAAATATATATTATGAAGGCACCAGTCAAGAAGAAGATGAAGAAGAGATTGGATTTGAGATCCCGCTTTATCACTACCCTAAGGAGTCTCAAAGCGGCTAACATTCTCCTTTCCCTTCCTCCCCCACAACAAACACTCTGTGAGGTGAGTGGGGCTGAGAGACTTCAGAGAAGTGTTGACTAGCCCAAGGTCACCCAGCAGCTGCATGTGGAGGAGCGAGAAAGCGAACTCGGTTCACCAGATTATGATGAAAAACATTCCACAAATGGGAAGGCACTACAGAAAAGGCCCGTTCTCGTGTTGATACCCTTCAGACCGCAAATATTTTGTGACAGATAAAGTTACAGGATTTCAGATATACAGTGTTCTGTGTCACATTGCTTCAAGGGGTTCTACAATATCCCAATGTTTGTATAGATACATACGACTTTCCTAATCTGTGTAGATCCAAACATTATAAAAACACAAATGGAAGAACTAAATATTTTAGCGTAAAAGCAGTGTGAAAAGGCTCTGTTGGCACTAACTGTATGGTACACTTCTAATCTCTCACTCGTCCCTATCAAGAGAAGGGGGGGGGAACCACACTCCACAAAACACTATTTGCCACAAATAAAGCACAGCGGCTGTCAAAGATTTTCCCTTTCAACGTCTTTGCTCTGCCTCCATTCAGTATTCTTAATGGATGATATGCCAGGAGTCTTTGATGAATGCTGTGATTGTACATGCAATGGGATTTTAAGGCTCTGATTCAAAACACCCTCCTGCCTATATCTTTGAGGAATGAGATGGATCTGTATATCCTTGAGCTTGGGCTATTTATTATCGGAGGGCTACAGTAAATTAGGAAGCACTTCTCAAACTGCTTTACCATCACGAATCTTATTGTTGTATGAGTTTGCTTGTGTGCCTTTCCAAGGGGCCTTTGTGCCGGTGGAGCAACTTTATGGTTGAGATATCTACTCTAAATAATTGCAGCTGGAGAGAAAGATAGGAGGGTGCATTTGTGGCAGCCGTCACAGAGAGTACCTTGAGGTATGATAGGATGAACTCAAATAGACAATGAACTGGATTAAAAATGGCCACAACTTTATTGATTACAGGTGTAGGTGGGTCTTTGGCTCAGGCAATATATGTAGTGTCAGGAGTGAGTCAGCTCCAAAAGAAGGCATGCAGCCAACTGCAGAAAGCAGCCAGGAATAGGGAGACTTAGATGTGAGACAGGCAGCGGAGAGCTGGCAGCTGTAAACTCCGGCTCTTCCTGACCTTGACGGGCCATCTGATAAGGCAGTAACGGAGTTCAGGCTAGAACATAGCCAAAGCTCGTGGGAAGCACAAAAAGGCACAAAGAGTCTCAGAGGCAGCCTCTCAGAAGGTGGAACTGACCCACTAAGTCCTAAGAGTCAGCAAATGGGAGGGTAGTTAGACAGGAAGCAAAACAGGAGATTTAAGAGATGTAAGTTCAAAATCTTCTGTAGATCCCAGAAGGACTCTTTAGAAGAGTTATCTTGAGTAATGATGCTGGAGGCTTTGTTCGAGCCGTCTGGCGTTATCTGTTTGTTTTTGCAATTAATCCTCACTTTAATTATCTACGCTTACTGTGTTATCAAGCTGGGAACCTGGACTCCTGACATGTAGATCCATTTCAGCTGAAACTGCATCAGGGTCAAGCCAACTCCAAGATGTTGATCTACCAAGTTGGCTGGCTGTGCTGTGAATGGCAGGCCAACCAACTTTTATGTGTTCCTAGCTGACCAGACATGGCCTGCAGCCAATGACTGGCCAGCTGACAAGGCTCTGCCCATACAGCAGGGCCATTGATTGGCCCATTTTGGCAGGGGATCCCTGCTCCTTGATTCTGCCAGCCGGGGGACAACCAGCAAAACATTTCGCCCTAGCTGCTGGAGATGATGGACGGAAGAGAGGTCCACAACCACCCAGAGGGGAGTGACCGCTCTTCTCCAGGGCAGAGAGAAACACAAAAGAGAGAGTGTGTGTAAAGTCAAGGTTCTTCTTTGTAGGCTTGCCATCTAACTTTATTTTATTGATATAAAATCAATAAATGATAATAATAAATTAATCAATTGTCGTTATCTTTCCCTGTCAAGTCCCATCTTGTTGGATGAAAGGAGGGAAATCCAACAGATGAAGCATGAAAATTGCAGTGGTGGACATATATTTTGGTCAGGCATATAGCTGCTTAATACAGGAGTGAGGCTTTCTATCTATCATCTATCTATCTATCCAGCTTTTTTCTCAAAAAAATGTTTAGGGGTACTCTCATTTTGACTCCAGAAAAATCCCCATTGTATAGTTCAAATCAGGGGGGGGGAAATTCAGTAAATGGACAAAAGTACAAAGATTCACAAAGTGTTTAGGGGTATGCAACCACCAGCATTCTAATCTTGTTGTCACAAAGCAGCATCAGAATCTAGAGGGCTGCCAAGCCTCCATTTGCAACCAGTCTTTTTTTGGGTAGTGATAAGGACATATTTGCGTGGGCAGGCGGAGTCCCCAGATCCCGAGCGGTCCCCCCTGTCATGTGGAATAACGACTCAAGACAACGTGCTATGGGATTAAATTGGCCACAACTTTATTAAATTTCAAATGTGGGTAGACCTTGGCTCAGGCACTGGGCGTTCTCCCTCCCCGGTCCCCAGCCGGGGACCTAGGGAGCATCAGGGTTATCCAGTGTGTGTGGGGGGGATGGGCTGGCTCTGGAGAACATATGTTCAAGCAGAGATAGCCGCCCCCGTTACGCCGCCGCCGCAGGGGAGAGCAATAATGACCTTTTGGCGTACGGTCAAAGCCTCCCTTCAGAAACCCCTTTAACGGGGAACCCTGGTATCGCCGCCGCAAAGAGGAAGATGGACTAAAGGATTCCGCCCAAGGCCTGATACCGCCAAAGTTGTGACGTTTTGCTACGGGAAAGGCGAAACCTGCCAATGCAGGGAAATTCCTTTCCGGCCCTTTGACAGCGACCTTAACGTAGCAGCGCCCGCATACCTGTGAAGAAAAGTTAACCTGCAAAATAAGACATTAACTGAGGGTGGGTAGGGTGGGAGAAGCTCTGGAGCCAAGTGAGGATTCCCAGGTAAGATCCTCCCTCTATTGTGTGGGCAGGTAATCCCTCCCCCACCTGGCCAGGTCTCCTTGGCAACGCTTCCCCCAGTTGGGATTGGACAACTGACTGAGGTAGGCGGAGACCTCCAGGTATCCCACCTGAGGGAAGGCAAAGCCAAGCCTATGCTGATGGAGCCACTCCAGATCCAGGGGCTGCGCGCCTCCACGCAAAGGGCGCCCCCCGTTTTAAGCGGGGAGCGGTCATTCTCCATACCCCCCAGCATTTATCCAATGAAAATAGAGACTATCATCATCATCATCATCATACCCCCACCCATCTGACTAGGCGGCTTCCAACAAATAGAAAACCATAATAAAACATTAAATATTTTAAAACTTCCCTATGCAGGGCTGCCTTAGGATGGTTGGCGTGGGTGTGGGTGTCAGATAACTCCACACCCTCCAACATTTCTCCGATGAAAATAGGGACGTCCCAAGGAAAAGCGGGACATTCCGGGATCAAATCAGAAACCGGGATGGCTTCTGTAAATCTAAGATGGTCCCTGGAAAATAGGGACACTTAGAAGGGTCTGCTTCTCCCATTGCTGCCATACTTCTCTTGCCTATCACCACCATTTTCTTGACTTCCAACTTCCACCATTGTTATTTTTCAAAAGGAGCCAGGGATGGTGGTGGCTGTGGTGGGAAGAAGATGAAGAACTTAAAAAATGGCAGAAGCCCAGTAGGGCTAAAGTCAGAGGCAGCCAATGAGAAAGTTGGACTCTACCTCCTATTATCCCTGACCATTGGCCAAGTAGTCGATTGTCAAGAACGTGGTCAGCCTTGGAAAGTGAGTTAAGCGTAGAAGCGTCTGACTCTGCAGATGAGCTGTCACATTCCAGACTGAGCAGCCCAGCCCCCAGGGCTGTCTTAAGCATATGTGGCACCAGGGTGCAAAGATTCCCCCCCAGGTTGCCCAGTCCCAGGCGTGCAGGAGGGCAGAGTCGGCAAGCCACCTCAGCATCTCACAGCCTCGGTCACCCCCCAACTCGTGGCACAGAGCCGCCCGCAGCAAAAGAGCCTGCTGTGGCGCTCCAACCGATGGGCAGGCTCTTCCCCGGACTCAACTCTCGGGCCCCGGCCTCTCGGCCTGGCACTCCTGAAAACCCGGTGCCCAGGTGCCCCGCACCTCTAGCGCCTATGGGTAAGACGGCCCTGCCAGCCCCCCTTTCTTCCAGGGCAGCCTCTATTAGCTCAGAAAGAGAGGGAGAATTGGAAGACGTTCAGAGCAAAGCCCAGCTGCCAGCAGAGGTAGAGTTGATATCTAATGGGAGCAGGGAGGGGGGAAGCCAACCCATGAGCCAGGGCCGGATTTAGGTTTGAGGAGGCCCTAAGCTACTGGAGGTAATGGGGCCCTTTATATGTCCAGCTGTCCTTTTTCAACAACAAATTCCCACTGTTTTTTCTGTTGAATATATGCTATATGGTAATTTATGGACCTAATAGGTATCTAAAGCCATTTGCACATGCAGAATGTAGGCACCCTATATATAGAAATGAGCAAACCAGTGGTGTTTTAGGGAGCAGGCTAGCAGGCGGGGCCCGTTACTTACATCATAGGAGCCTACACAACACAAGACACTGTTGCTGTATGTAGGTTTTATTTTATTTGTTTTTTATCTTATATTTTGGAAATGTACATTCAGTTTTTTCCCTTTAATTTTTTGGGCCCCCCAAGAGACTGGAGCCCTTACCTATAGCTTGTTTAGCTTATACGTAAATCCAGCACTGCCATGAGCCCTCAAACTTGAAGGGTTGGAAGCTCAGAAATCAGCGGAAGGGGCAGGGAAGAAAGTTGTGGCCCTGGCGTCCTTCCTGCTGGGGGAAGAGCACTGATTCAGATTAGCCAACTATTGTTACTGAGTGGAAGCAGAAAGCCCTGCTCTTGATGTGTTTCTTCTGTAAATAAAGCAAAATAGAACTGAAAGCGTCTCATTACTGTTTATCCGACTGGTCGTCTGCCAGGGATCATTATATCTATGGCTGATGGAAGTTGGAGTCCAACAACATCTGGAGGGTGCAATGTTGCTTACCCATGGCTTAGGATGTGGTGGTAGGTGTGCAGTAGATTCTCCCGCCCACATCCCAGTAGGGTTGCTCTATCCCTGTATGTGTCAAATGTCTTACAAATTGATGCCTCGGCCCTATTCCACTTTATTTATTGCTTACTTCCCTACCAACAGTGAATTTGTTATTGAATTATGTATATGTCATTTAACTTGCCTAAGAAAAAAAGGGAGGGAGGGTGGTTTTGTTCTTGTTTTCTCCTCTGTGGCTGTTGGTGTGACTTTTTGCTAGACATGCCGCCAATTACCAAAGGAAAAGGTGGAATTAAAATCTCCCCAAACCACTAACACATTTGAAGTGATGAATTAAACATGCGTCATTTCTTTTCTAGATGAGCTATTGCTCGCTGGTGCAGAAAAATTTGAATTTAACATTATTTTAGCAATTTTGAAGCTGAATTAAAGATTCATCTATTGTATCAGGTATGTGACTTCGGGCTAACATTTTAATCTCTATCATTATTATAATGTTTGCTATTCAACAACTCTGAGACAGACAGAGATAAGGTTAAGATTAAGTCATGCAGAACAAAGACTTCATCTTTTGTTGGTATGCATAGGTGGTGATAGGGACGTGGGTGGCGCTGTGGTCTAAACCACAGAGCCTAGGGCTTGCCTATTGGAAGGTCGGCAGTTCGAATCCCCACGACAGGGTGGGCTCCCATTGTTCAGTCCCAGCTCCTGCCCACCTAGCAGTTCGAAAGCACATCAAAGTGCAAGTAGATGAATAGGTGGGAAGGTAAACAGCATTTCCGTGCACTGCTCTGGTTTGCCAGAAGCGGCTTAGTCATGCTAAGAAGCTGTCATGACATGGAAGCTGTCTGCCAACAAACACCAGCTCCCTCGGCCAGTATAGCGAGATGAGCGCCGCAACCCCAGAGTTGTCCGCGACTGGACCTAACGGTCAGGGGTACCTTTACCTTTATAGGTGGTAATGAAGCTGCACAACACTGGTTAATACTACTATTGAGTTGTGCAGCAAAGTAGCCCAAACTACATTAAACATTCATTTGTATCAATGCTTTTTTGTTGGACATAACTATGCGGTCTCTCAAGCTTTGCCAATAACCCGGTGATCTCAGATATCATTATGGGTCCTGCAGGCATCCAGGAAACATAGAATCATAGAATTGTAGAGTTGGAAGGGATCTCAAGAGTCATCTGATCCAACCCTCTGAAATGCAGGATCCATGACAGGATCCTGAAATAAAACATCCATGACAGATGGCCATCCAACTTCTGCTTAGCAAACTCCAATGAAGGAAATGCCACCACCTCCTGAGGGAGTCTGTTCCACTGTTGAATTGCTCTTATTGTCAGAAATTTACAGCTGGAATCTGAATTCTCCATCCCTGATGTAGATTCTGTGCATAGCATGACTCCATTTCCCCATCAAAATCACAGAGAGGTACAGTCATACCTCGGGTTGAATGTGCTTCAGGTTGAGCACTTTCGGATTGCACTCTGCGGCAACCCGGAAGTAACGGAGTGCGTTACTTCCATGTTTCGCCGCTCGCTCATGCGCAGACGCTCAAAATGTTGTCATGTGCATGCGCAGAAGCGGCAAAACGCAACCACGCATGCGCAGACACACCGTAATAATAATAATTTAATAATTTATTATTTATACCCCGCCCATCTGGCTGAGCTTCCCCAGCCACTCTGGGCGGCTCCCAATCAAATGTTAAAAACAGTACAGCTTTAAATATTAAAAACTTCCCTGAACAGGGCTGCCTTCAGATGTCTTTTAAAGATAGGAAATAATAATAACCCGTAGTGTCTTACGTTCCATTCAGGATGCGAACGGGGCTCCGGAACGTATCCCGTTCGCATCCCGAGGTACCACTGTATATATTTTCTTTGATCTGACAAATATATTTTGGATTGATAGTGAAGTTAAACCAAGGTGAGGTACACAGTTTGCTTTGGATGAGGCTGCACTCATGCAGAAAAACCAAGCTTGCAGATTGAGTGCTCCTGGACTCAGTTTAACCACTGGTTGGTCAGATAATGGCTGTAAAAGGTAAAGGTAAAGGGACCCCTGACCATTAGGTCCAGTCGTGACCGACTCTGGGGTTGCTGCGCGCATCTCGCTTTATTGGCCAAGGGAGCCGGCATACAGCTTCCGGGTCATGTGGCCAGCATGACCAAGCTGCTTCTGGCGAACCAGAGCAGCACACGGAAACACCGGTTACCTTCCCGCCTATTTATCTACTTGCACTTTGACGTGCTTTTGAACTGCTAGGTTGGCAGGAGCAGGGACTGAACGGGAGCTCACCCCTTCATGGGGATTCGAACCACCGACCTTCTGACCGGCAAGTCCTAGGCTCTGTGGTTTAACCCACAGCACCTGTACAGCTTCAACAAGAACAATGAATTTTCTGGAATCAAGAACTGCACTTTGACCATTATTCCTCACATTACTAACAATAAGAGGGGTGAAGGTGAGAGCTAAATCCAAACAATCAGTCTTGTGTTAGAGTTTAATATTAAGGATTATTTCAAATTTTGCATTACTTTCGAGTTTAATGGGGCTAATATGACTCAGGAATGATAATCTTCTGATGGGGTGGGGAAGAATATATGTGCAGAAAATCCTCATTTCCCCTGCTCATAACAACTCGTGCTTTTAAAAGGCAGCCTTTGTAATTGCAGCTGGCAAATGCAGACAATAAAAGACAACAACCCAAGGAGGCCAGAGAGTTACTGGCACCATAAAATGATCCCAAACAAAAGCTGAAGGGATAAGGGGGGAAATGCACCCCAGACAATATTATGGCAGCAACTGATCTGCTTGCGCACGAAACTGAGCTGGTAATGAAGTCAGTATTGTTTATGCGAAGCAGGGCTGCCTCAAGACACTTGCTTAAAAAGAAAAGGCAATAAACACGTGTAAATTTCAGAGAACGGTTTGCTCAGCACTTCGAAACACAGAAAAGTTTCAAAATTATACAAAGATATTTAAGAATATGTTACTGAGTGTCTTTCTTTCCATGGAAAAGTGTGTGTGTGTGTGTGTGTGTGTGTGTGTGTGTGTGTGTTTAAATCTGAGCAGAGAATAAGAATAATCTGGCTTAAGATTTCACCATTGTCCTCAGTGAAATAGCAAAATAAGAGATTGGTCTTTATGAATTTCTTCATTCAGAATAGGAGCATGGACAGAGGAGAAAATGCTCAAAGATAAAATTGAATGTGTTAATTGGAACAGGTGGCTGATTATTATTATTATTATTATTATTATTATTATTATTATTATTATTTCTTTTGACTGATCTGATTTCTTGGAGCTATTTAAATTCTGGTCTGATAAATTCATAAATCTGGAGCAGCCATTGTTTAAAGCCATTTATGCAAAAACTGTAGACAAAAGCACATAACTGCTTTGGAAAGAGAGAGAAAATTAAAGCTTTTCAATTAGCACCAATCCTTTTCTTCAGATCATCTGCTTTTGAGAGGCAGCCTTTTGTCTCCATCAGCATTTTTAAAAGACTGAAGCGAGAGTGGGGGAATGATAACATTATTTTATTTCACTATTCGTGAGTATGAATAACACAAAATGAGGTTGCACCATGCTTTGTGCCCATGCCTTTTTTAAATATATAAATGCATGCACTTACTTTTTTGTTTCATGTTAGAATAGAGCAATGCCTGCAAATTTGTTGTGGCGAAGTCAAATCGCGTTGTTAATGGCACAGAATTGACTTCCCCAGACCCCATGCTTGTAAATAATATCTAAGAAAAAGGAGAATGTGCCATTTGAGGTGGGGTCCAATTTCTGTTATTGTTGTTGTATCTGACTTCATTGGTAAGGTCATTTTAAAAAATGACATAATTTTGCTGAAGCTGTAATCCCAAACTTTCAGATTTCCCATAGGCTTCTGGCTGGCCACTGTAAGAACAGCATGCTAGACTAGATGGGAATGCTCCTCAACTGTCCTGATTGAATTGAGACATGCTCACCTAAAAACATGCGAGAGCATGTTGCCCAGAAATATGTGCTTTTGGGCTCTGTACTCTCAGGAGGGTCATGTGATTCACCCGGGAGTGCGGAAGATGTGTGGCCCAGTTTTGGGCTATAATATGTTGGAGGGTATGGATGGGCCTTTGGTCTAATCCAACAGGGCCTTCCGTAAATTTATATATTCTAGCCCAAGGATGATGGAGCGGTTTTTGAATGCAGCATAAGTTCCACACCTCTGCCAGAGCAGGAAGTAGGGGCCTCCAGAATACCTGCAGAAATTTCCACAGGAATAGGTGATAAGATCTAGATCCCTGAAAGATCATCTGACCCCTTATATCAGGGGTGAGCAACCTTTTTCAGCCGTGGGCTGGTCCACCATCCCTCAGACCATGTGGTGGACCAGGCTATACTGGGGAGCGGGAATGAATGAATTCCTATGCCCCACAAATAACTCAGAGATGCATTTTAAATAAAAGGACACATTCTACTCATGTAAAAACATGCTGATTCCTGGACAGTCCGCGGACCAGATTTAGAAGGCAACTGGGCTGGATTAGGTTGCCTACCCCTGATCTAGAGGATCCCAGTTTGCTTTGTTTCCTTGGCATCCCTCCTAAGAAGGCACCCTAGCTAGCCAGCCAGTTTTTTGCCCTGCCACATGTTATCGCCTCTAGCAAAAAGTAAAAGAGCTCTATGATTTGACACTCTATCTCTCTGTATGTGTCATGCCTCCATTTCATACCTTCACACCAAGCATGCGGTCCCTTTTAGGGCTAAGCTAGACATGATGTTAAATGCATCATTGGAAACATGTCTTAAAAAATAGTAGTACTGGGCACTAGGGCCCTTAATTTTAATCAGAACCACAGTATACGGGAAGGAGAGGTTTGACCCTTTATTTCTCCCATCACAGTCCAATGGAAACTCCATAGTTGCGGCTTGCTTGCTACGGAAGAGAAGCTTCTATAGGTGCCCCCTCACATTTGATCTTCAGTCGGTAGAAGATGAGAATCTTAATCTCAGGATCGTGGGTAGGAGCCCCACACTGGGCAAAAGATTTATTGCATTGCAAGGGGTTGAACGAGATGCCCCTCATTGTCCCTTTCAATTCTACAATTCTATGATTCTATGATTCAAAGTAAGAATAAAAGATGTGCTTTCTGATGATGCATTTCACATCACGTGTAGTTTAACCCTCATCCTTGGAAAGGGTCATAGCTTGGTGGTATGGCACTAGTTTTGCATGCCAAATTTTCCCAGCTCAAGCCCTGGCATCTCAAGGTAGAGCTGGGAATGCCCTCTTTAGGACATTAGACAGCCCTAGTCTAGGTCTAGACAGACCTAGACAGCCATTGCCAGTCAGTGTAGAGAACACTGAGGTAGGTAAATGTAAAGGACCTGGACGGTTGAGTCCAGTCAAAGGCGACTATGGGGTTGCAGTGCTCATCTCGCTTTCAGGCCAAGGGAGCCAGTGTTTGTTCACAGACAGCTTTCCAGTTAATGTGGCCAGCATGACAAAACCGCTTCTGGTGCAACAGAACACCGTAATGGAAACCAGAGTGCATGGAAATGCCATTTACCTTCCCACAGCAGCAGTACCTATTTATCTACTTCTGCTGGCATGCTTTTGAAATGCTAGGTTGGCAGGAGCTGGGACAGAGCAACGGGAGCTCACCCCGTTGTGGGGATTCGAATCGCCAACCTTCTGATCGGCAAGCCCAAGAGGCTCAGTGGTTTAGACCACAGCTCCACCCGCAACGGAACATTGGTAGATGTTCCTACATAAGGCAGATGTTTATGTCCCTATGCATATGGCCTTGAATATTATTCTCAAGGAAACCTGTAGAATAAAAGACTTCTCAACCAAAATCCATAGCTTGTAGCTCAACATTGGTAGTAAAAAAATTGAAATGGACTGTGTTTCTTTAAAGAAGCCAAAGCACCTACGTTCCTATTATGTGAGAGATAAGGTGAGCTAAACAACAATAACAGAAGAGGTAGTGTAATGGAATGCAGAAGTACACTAACACAACAAAGAATACTAGGTGAATCAAATTTTTGGCAATGTTTTTCTCCTGCGGAGAACCAATTAATTTTATTAAAGTCAGTAAATTCAGTTGTGAATGTTTAAGAATCTAATGACTTCCGGAGATTCAGAGTGAATTCAGCAGCAAAAGCTAATTAGAAGGGAAATGAATGCACAAAATATCCCTCGTGTGTAAAGAAAGAGTGTAAAGACCATTAATTGAAATTAAAATTTAACAGTAGCCTAATGCTGCATGGCATAAAATTCCATCTGTTGGGTAGAGACACTAAACAAGAAATACACGGGGAATACTCTGCACTTGTCAGCTTTTGAACAAGTCAATGAATACAATTTCAATATCAAAACCAGAGCACCCAAAGAGAATGCTCATGTTCACAGGGGTTAGTTGCTGATTGGAAGGTCAGTGGTTTGAATCCCTGTGACGGAGTGAGCTCCTGTTGTTCTGCTGCTGGCTTCTGCCAACCTTGCAGCTCAAAAGCACACCAGTGCAAGTAGATAAATAGGTACCGCTGTGGCAGGACGGTAAACGACATTTCCCTGTGTTCTAGCTTCCGACGCAGTGATCCTGTTGCACCAGAACAGGTTTAGTCATGCTGGCCACATGACCCGGAAAGCTGTGTGTGGACAAACACTGGGTCCTGTAGCCTGAAATTGAGATGAGCGCCGCAACCCATAGTCGCCTTTGACTGAACTTAACTGTCCAGGGGGTATTTACCTTTACCTCTAGGCAAAAAAGTAGGTTCCTTAACTAAGTGTCAGGGGCTGGACTGAGACGGAATGGTGGGGACCGACCCCCTTCTTCTGAACCTTCCTGAGAACAGGGGTCCTTTCCCTTCTACCTTTTTAGTTGGGATGTGGTGCCTCTTGCAGCAATTGACCAAACAGTATTGGGAAAATAGATACCGTATTTTTCTCTATATAAGACGCACCAGACCATAAGATGCACCTAGTTTTATAGGAGGAAAACAAGAAAAAAATATATTCTGAATCAAATGTTGTTGAAGAGGAAGGAGGATGGAGGATCAGGCTAAGGCATCACAACAAGAGGCACTGTGCAGCTCTCCCTCTTGCTGTGCAGGCTTCAGCAAAAGCAACGCAAAGCCTCTTCATTCACTCCATAAGATGCACACACATTTCCCCTTACTTTTTAGGAGGAAAAAAGTGTGTCTTATAGAGCGAAAAATACGGTATATTTTCTTTTCTTTTACTCACTGTGGTCAGACATCTTGATCATCTTGGTTGCCCTCCTCTGCACATATTCCAGCTTGTCAACATCAATAATAATAATAATAATAATAATAATAATAATTTATTTATACTCCGCCCATCTGGCTGGGTTTCCCCAGCCACTCTGGGTGACTTCAAACCGAATATTAAAAAAAATTGTGATGCCCAGAATTGGACATAGTGTTCCAGGTGTGGTCAGACCAAGGCAGAGTAGAATAGTATTATTATTATTATTATTATTATTATTATTATTATTATTATATACTTCTGTTGATGCAGCCTAGAATAGCAATGGCTTTTCTAATCCTAGGTGGCAGGTGAATCTTCTTATGGAGCACCTTCCATCATCAGGGTGTCACCTGCTTCCTTAGTAATCACCTGTTTCACTGCTTTAGGTGAGAGAAGCTGGAGAAGGGCCTCAACACTCATACATGGTTAGACCCAGAGAACATCAAAAGTCCTCAGAATTATCTCTTTATAATTACACCCTTCTCATCTCAGGCACCCCTGTTGTCCTGTATGACTCCAGAATAAAACAAGTGATGTAAGGAAGTGATGTAACACATGTGATATCATACATTACGGCTCAGAACCACAATACCTCAAGAATGCCACTTTCCATATGAACCTACCTGGACCCTGAGATCATCTTCTGAGGCCCTTCTTTGTGTGCCTCCTCCTCAAGAGGTCCAGAGGGTGGCAACACGAGAACAGGGCCTTCTCTGCAGTGGCTTCCCATCTGTGGAATGTTCTGCCCATGGAAGTTTGCCTAGTGCCTTCATTATACACCTTTGGGCACCAGGCAAAAACATTCCTTTTTAACCGAGCCTTTGGTTTACCTGATCGACATCCTATACCCTTTTAAAATGTGGCTCTTTATTGGGAGGTGTTATTGGGTTATTGTTTCTATTTTTATTTTATATATTGTGATCTTTTCTGTGAACCACCCTGAGACCTCTGGCTATAGGGCGGTATATAAATTCAAAAAATAAATAAAATATGTGACCTTGTTAAATAGTATCCAGCAGGCTTGAGATCCAAATTCTCCTCCCTCGCCGCTGACAAATCTCTCATAAGATGCCTTCAAAATAATATATTCAATGGAAGCAATTTAAGCTGTCTTTTTAAGATTACAAGAGCTTCTAGAAACTAATATGGGGGGAAATTACACCTGCATTTAAAAGCGGGTCAACGTTGAGGGTCAGAGGCACAATATGGGTGAGCTTTCAGTAAACACAACAGCAATTTCTCTCAGCGAGGTTTCTTCTTGATCTGATTCACCTCCAATACAATGACAAAAAACACCCTCATTTTACTGCCACTGAAGTCTCAGAGGTTCAAATATTGTTTTCCTATCCTTTGCCTGGGAGAAAATGTGCCTTACAAAATTCTGAAACATGAGTCACACTTGAAAACGGTGCCATTCTACAACATCTGGGCTTTGGGCTGCAATTCAAACTCCCCTTCTGTCAGACTATGAGCCTATTTGGATTCAACTGGGGCATCCTTCCTCTCACTTCTGCTGGCTCATCTGATCTCCTACTGGTGTAGACCTCTGCCCTATGCTCAAGGACAGGCAAAAAGACCCACTGGCAGTTAGCAGAGCCTTGTGGAAAGCCCCCGAATGGGGCATTCTGAGGGCAGGGCTGAGTTGGATTGGGATCCACTGGATCCCAAGCTCTTTCTCACAGCTGACACCAGCTGGCATCAGGCTTGACACGAGACTGATCACTGTACCAGCAAGCCAGGCAATATCCCCAATGTACCACTGCTCAGTGCCTCAGGCGCAAATGCTCAGGCTCCCAAACAAATCAGCACAGTGAGTGTTCCGGTTTTCAAACGTTCTTTTGGAAGCTGAACATCCGACGGGGCTTCTGTGGCTTCCGATTGGCTACAGGAGCTTCATAAGCTGCACTTTGGTTTCCAAATGTTTTGGAAGTCAAACTATATATAAAGCAGAGACTCACAAATGGCAAGTCATTGGAAACAACTGGGGTTTTTCTTTTGTTTTGTTTTTATAGCAACACACAGAACTAGGACAATTTTTAAAAAAATATTTTTTTAAAAAAATTACACAATATAAGCAAAATATTGCAAATCTATACATACATATATATTTTAAATAAGCACATATTTATGAAAAAAGGAACAAAAGCGAGAAAAATAAGAAGAAAAAAAGAGAAAAGAAGAAGAAGAAAAGTTGGAAGAATTTCTTCCAAGTTGATTCTACAAATATCTCAATATGAAAATAATAATAAAATTTCATTGATTGACTTCCATCGCTTGCACTGCACTTCCTATATACATTTTAAGCAAGATTGTATCTGTTATTCCGTATTTTTCCCATACAATCTCACACAAATATTCTAATCAATAAGTTTCCTAAATCTTTCCTAAATCTATTATAAAGACATCCAATACCTTACATTTAATCAGAACTAGGACATTTTTGGGGACGCGGGTGGTGCTGTGGGTTAAACCACAGAGCCTAGGACTTGCCAATCAGAAGGTTGGTGGTTCGAATCCCCACGATGGGGTGAGCCCCCGTTGCTCGGTCCCTGCTCCTGCCAACCTAGCAGTTCAAAAGCACGTCAAAGTGCAAGTAGATAAATAGGTATCGCTCCGGCAGGAAGGTAAACGGCGTTTCCGTGCGCTGCTCTGGTTCACCAGAAGTGGCTTAGTCATGCTGGCCACATGACCCGGAAGCTGTACACCGGCTCCCTTGGCCAATGAAGCAAGATGAGCACCGCAACCCCAGAGTCGGTCACGACTGGACCTAATGGTCAGGGGTCCCTTTACCTTTACCTAGGACACTCTTAACATGTAGAAATGGAAGCCAGTCCCAGCAGTGGTGGAGCTTCATACTCCGGCACTGGGGGGTGGAGAGCAGGCAGGGGCGGGGCTGGTGCATGTCCCGGGGGCGGGGTGAGCCACCCACAGGGGCATGGCATGCATCCTGGGGGCAGGGCATACCACCTGCAGCAGCGTGGCATCTAGCGTGGGCAGGGGGCAACCGCTATGGCACCTTACTGGGATCCCTCTGCCGGGAGTGGTGTGCTCCCCCTGCACTCCTCTGCCAGTGAGTCGCAGACCCTCCAAGTGTCCCTATTTTCAAGGAACAGTCCTGGATTTACAGAAACCACCCAAGTTTCCGATTTTATCCTGGAATGTCGTGCTTTTCCTTCAAACATCCCTATTTCCATCAGAGAAATGTTGGAGTTATGCAGTCCCTGAGCCAAGGGGATAAGTAACTACAGGGAAGTTTTTTTAACGTTTGAAGTTTTATTATGTGTTTTTATATGTTGGAAACCACCCAGAGTGGATGGGGCAACTCAGTGAGATGCGCAGAGTATAAATAATAAAACGCAAACCCAGTGCTTTTTTCCTGGGGGGACGCATACCCCAAAACATTTTGTGAATCTTTGTCAACTGGCGGAGGAAGAGGAGTGCTGGGGGAGCGCACCACCCCCAGCAGCGCGATCCCGGCAGGGTGCCATCGTGGCTTCCTCACTGCCTGCACTGGGCGCCACACCACTGCAGGCAGCGTGCCCCGCCCCGCCCCGCCTGCTCTCCGCCCCCCCGGTGCCAGAGCATGAAGCTCCGCCACTGCTATTGTCCATTTGTTGTTGTTGTTGTTTAGTCGTTTAGTCGTGTCTGACTCTTCGTGACCCCATGGACCAGAGCACGCCAGGCACTCCTGTCTTCCACTGCCTCCCGCAGTTTGGTCAAACTCGTGCTGGTAGCTTCAAGGACACTGTCCAACCATCTCATCCTCTGTCGTCCCCTCCATCTTTCCCAACATCAGGGTCTTTTCCAGAGAGTCTTCTCTTCTCATGAGGTGGCCAAAGTATTGGAGTCTCAGCTTCAGGATTTGTCCTTCTCAGGGCTGATTTCCTGAAGAATGGATAAGTTTGATCTTCTTGCAGTCCATGGGACTCTCAAGAGTCTCCTCCAGCACCAGAATTCAAAAGCATCAATTCTTCGGCAATCAGCCTTCTTTATGGTCCAGCTCTCACTTCCATACATCACTACTGGGAAAACCATAGCTTTAACTATACGGACCTTTGTTGGCAAGGTGATGTCTCTGTTTTTTAAGATGCTGTCCAGGTTTGCCATTGCTTTTCTCCCAAGAAGCAGGTGTCTTTTAATTTTGTGGCTTCTGTCACCATCTGCAGTGATCATGGAGCCCAAGAAAGTAAAATCTCTCACTGCCTCCATTTCCCCCCCTTCTATTTGCCAGGAGGTTTTTCCAAATTTGAACTATAGAATGGTGATTTTCCTGAGTCAAAATGAGAGTACATCCCCCCCCCCCCAGGAAAAACAGCACTGCACAAACCTGACTACAAAATGCGAAATGAGCATTGGCTCAGGTAGCCAGTTTGTGCCTATCTGCTCTGTTCTAATAACCGATTATAAGTCTACTTCTGAAAAGAAGATTACTTAGAAGGTTTTTTGGGGGGGGATAAAACTGGCCGCAGATATTTTACCTACTTTCTCTCTCTCTCACCTCTTTACTTAAGCCCTTTCATTAGCAGCACTCTCAGACTCACAAACAAGCCTTTCCTTCATATTTACAGGCCCGGGTCTATTGTAAATTGCTTTTAGTCACCCAACCCATTAACTATGGCAAAACATACAGTAGTGCAGCTTGACATTCTTAATGACTACTCTAAAGCTGCTTAATTTATCCGCCTTTTAACATCGTTACTTCAGTTAAGTATCGGGATTATGAATGCTATTTCCCGATTCTTTTGACAATGCATAATGATCCTCATCATTGTCAAGCTTATGAGAGGTGTATAACCTGATCAGTTCATTAAGAGCAGAGAGCTTTGGAGTTATTAATGATTATGTTATTTACACTCAGAACACGGAGGGCTGCATTGAACCCCGGTGTAACTCTTTTAATGGTAATGCAATTACTCCTTGAACAAGTTTTTAACCCGTGTAATAATGGATACATTTCCCTTTCCTCAAGGATAAATGCTGAGACATCACTCACGATATCCCTCCTTGTCTAATTACACTCTTGATCAGGAGGTGCATCTTTGCAGATTTATACATGACGAGATGCACAAGTAATTTAGCAACCTAATGCCGTCCTTAATGTACTTTTTAAGAACTAATGGGGCAAATTCATGCACAGTTTACCTCTACTGAGCTTTAATGGAATTACATCAACAGTGAATTTGTCAAAGTGACTTTACCTTGATGGTGTGCTTTACTACACCATTATTTCCCAGAACCGTAGTACAAAGGACGGAAGATAACGAGTTGTAAAATCTTTATTTCTGCATGCTAGTTTTTAAGTATCTTTTTGAAAGGTAATCATTCATTCCCACTGTACTTACATAAATGCCCTTAAACTCCATTCCATTCCTGTTTCTGAAAGCACAGCTTCACTTATCGATACCACTGACAATAATTAGAGGTGTATGTGTGAATAAGAGAAAGGGAGGGAGGCAACAACTATCTCTGTGTGAACATATGGATTTGTGCTATTGGTTTTTATAGTTAGTCTTTAATTGGTTTAATCTCTGTTCTGTTTATTAAGATTATTTTACACTGCTTAGAGACGCAGGCAACTAAACAATATGAAATTGTTGAAACAAACAAACAAAATGTGTGCTTCCTCTATGCGCTTCAATCCCTTGCATATGCTGACACCGAAGGCAACTTTAAATCACACTCGGTGTATTGATTTACAAGTTACAATTTTGCTGCATCCAGATTTCTCGGAGGCAGTTGGACAAATAGAATATTTCACATCAGCAGGCAAGTCCTCGGTTTGTGAGGACAATGAATAAAAGATCAAAATGTCACCTCATCAGCTGCTTCCAGCCAGGGCTTCAATCGAGGCCAGCGCCTCTCTTCACACTGCTGTTGACTGACACAGCTATCAATAAAATATCAGATTGAAGGAACAGGTGGTGATCATTCTACTGGTCACCTCGGGGGCAGAGCTACCTCTTTGTGATGCTTGCTCCTGACTCAGCTCAGGAGCTCAGCCAGATGAAGACAGTCTTGATGAAACAACATACCCTCCAACATTTCTCTGATCAAAATAGGGATGTCCTATTCAATAATAAAAGTAATACTGATGACGATAAGATTTTTTTATTATTATTTACACCCCACCCATCTAACTAGGTTGTCCCAGTCACTTTGGGTGGCTTCCAACATATATAAAAACCATTACAAAACAATAAACATTAAAAAAAATCCTCTGCTTTCAGATGTCTTCTAAAGGTTGTATCTTGGTTTATCTCCTTGGCTCAGGGGTCACAATAACTCCACACTCTCCAACATTTCTCTGATGAAAATGGGGATATCCTATTCCATACTCTCAAACATTTCTCTTGTGAAAATAGAGATGTCCTAAGGAAAAGTGGGACATTCTGGGTTCAAACCATAAAACCCAGGCGGCTTCTGTAAATCTGGGACTGTCCCTGGAGAATAGGGATACTTGGAGAGTCTGCTGTGTGGATTGAGAATTATTTCCATGTACGTGACCTCAGTGAGATAATTCCACTTGTCTTTCTGAGTGGCTGTTTTTGAAGTACTATCAGATATTCCAAATCCAGGAGCTCAAGTTTCTCTTTACTTAGTATATATTAGCAATCTCCATTTCCTTGCTTGCACCAATATTACAGGAGGCTTGCTGTAATCCTTCAAATGATTCCATTTCAAATCTAGACATTTCCAATAGTGAATCAGAAGAAAAGTGCCATGGCATTGTGTGGAGAAGACCTCCGGATAAGATGGCATCTGAAGAAGACCCTCACCTGCAGAGCACAGTACTCAATTAGTATATACAGTGCTATTTTTCTGAATGCCTTGTTCTCTTATGATGGCAATGGCTCCATCCTGAAAGGTGCCAGAACTGAGTTCCAGTGAATTCCAGCTGAAAAAAAGCTTTGAGTATATAAGGCAGGGGTAGGCAACCTAAGGCCCGGGGGCTGGATGTGGCCCAATCGCCTTCTCAATCTGGCCCACGGATGGTCCATGAATCAGCGTGTTTTTACATGAGTAGAATGTGTGCTCTTATTTAAAATGCATCTCTGGGTTATTTGTGGGGCATAGGAATTTGTTCACCCCCCCCCAAATAGTCTGCCCCCCCCCCCCAAGGTCTGAGCGATGGTAGACTGGCCCATGGCTGAAAAAGGTTGCTGACCCCTGATATAAGGCGTCAGATGATCTTTCAGAGAGCCAGTGTGGTGTAGTGGTTAAGAGCAGTAGACTCGTAATCTGGGGAACCGGGTTCGTGTCTCCGCTCCTCCACATGCAGCTGCTAGGTGACCTTGGGCCAGTCACACTTCTCTGAAGCCTCTCAGCCCCACTCACCTCACAGAGTGTTTGTTGTGGGGGAGGAAGGGAAAGGAGAATGTTAGCCTCTTTGAGATTGCTTCAGGTAGTGATAAAGCGGGATATCAAATCCAAACTCCTCCTCCTCCTCCTCCTCCTCCTCCTCCTCCTCCTCCTCCTCCTCCTCCTCTTCTTCTTCTTCTTCTTCTTCTTCTTCTTCTTCCTGTCCCATGTTGTATAGGGCTTTATACACAAAAGCGGGTGGCGCTGTGGTCTAAACCACTGAGCCTCTTGGGCTTGCCAATCAGAAGGTCATTCCGTTGCACCAGAAGCGGTTTATTCATGCTGGCCACATGACCCGGAAAGCTGTCTGTGGACAAACACCAGCTCCCTCGTCCTGGAAGCAAGATGAGTGATGCAACCCCATAGTCACCTTTGACTGGACTTAACCATCCAGGGGTCCTTCACTCTACCTTTTACACAAACACTAGTACATTGTGCTTGACCAATTAGCATGAGAAAGAGATATTTTGTATAAACTGTGTGCACTCTGTGCAGGGGTTTGGATGAGCACATAGGTTCCAGGATCAGGGCCAGTGAGTGAAACACTGCCCACCTGACCAGCACCATGTTACATTCATTTGCCACAACGTTTAATTGACTCTTCACTGAGACATGCCCCCCCCCCACTGGCCTGCCTCTTTCATTTTCTTTGCACTTTTTGCAACCAATGAAAAGGGTTTAACATTTGCTTTATTGCTTTTATGACATTTCCTGCCTGTGCTACATCAGCAGAGGGAGCTGAGAGAGGTGGAGTGGATATTTCTCTCTTTCTCTCTCCTCCCACCCACCTCCCTCTCTCTGCTGATAAAGTGTCAGAGGCTGCAGTACTGGGGCAAATCAGGCAGTGCTAAACATATGGCTTTAGTGGTACATCATGGCGCTCGAACAGCAGACAGTAAATAATGAATGACCATTTAACAGCGAGTACTCTGTGACATATCCCTAGCCAGCAGTGTGTTTGCAGAACCAACTGCAAATAAATACATTCCTGAAAGATATTTTCTCTTGGTGGGCTTAAATTAATTGGTTAAATTAATTGCAGCAAACCGTTCAATCAGCCATATTTACTGTGGGCCATGACCGAAGAGCATTGTTAGCATGGGGTTCAGATGCACTTTCATCTTCCAACTCTGACCAGATTTTTCTTCCCAGTGAGAGGTCCTTATTGGTGGTGTTTATTTCAATAAGGCGAGAGCGTGTGGAATCCATGCATCTTAAGTCGTTGCTTCAAATGAATAGCAGTAACTGTAATGTAGCCAATTAGTAGTGCTGATCTAGAACAAATGTCCAAGGGCACTTTAGCAAAGGTCTGGCTATTTATGTCATGAACAGTGTTCTCAGTATGGATTGCATGCTTTCTAAGCTTATTTAAATCAAACATATAGCAAAGGGGTTTTAAGAGATCTTCCTCTTCTGAATATTTTCCCTTTCCCTGTCTTAAGAGTGCAATCCTAAGCACACTAACTGTTGAGGAACCTCCATTGAACAGAATGGGGCATACAGAGATTTGGGGCTAAAACTTGTATCGTTCCCAGCTACTACACCCATACAGAAGAGAACCCTGGTCCAACACCTCTGGATGGCCCAAGATTGGGGAAGACAAAATAGCACAGAAAAAACTCATTTATAAGCCCATCCAAGTCTCCCTAATCCCTTTAGCGTGAAATTTGGTTCAGTTTGCATTGAAAGATGAAC